GTGGCTCCAACCAGCCAAAGTCCAGGTTGTCAGAACCAGTCAGCCCAGTTCCTCAGCCCACTCCAGCATGATTTTGGGAAGTTCTGCTTACTCCCAGTTTGGCCAGCTACCCCAAGAACTGGCCGAGCTGGGGGAAGGCATTTGCCCAAACCCCCTAGATATCAGGCCTAGTCTGCAGGTCCAGGCTAGTCTGAGCTCTGGAGTTTCATATCGAGATGATGTGGATGTTGACTATGTTTGCCAGGCAAGACCTGCATCTGCCTATGTGAGAGAAGGAGGAGGGGAGAGGGCAGGGATTAATCGATTTGGCCAGGCCCGTCAGTTAAGCCGGAACCAGTCCAAAGCAGCCTACTATCCCATGGAAGTTACTGAGGCAACAATTGGGACCTCCTGATAGCCTTCAATCATCACACGATTATCAATACCACCACCAGGGGGGACTGCGGCGCCCACTCAGTGCCCACCCAGCTTCCGCCCCAGCTCCTCCCCCGAGGCCTCTTGTCCACTCCCAGAGTATCAGTGTCCGTTTCTCCACCAGCAGCGGCAGCCTCGCAGGTGGGCGGCCCGTTAATCACGGCCCAGGCTTCAGAACGTCTGCCTCCGCCCAGCAGATGGATTTACCATCAGATCTGGCCTCTGTTGGAGAGGTTTCTGGTTACCATGACGATCTCTTTCTTATCTCCTCCCCTCAGTCTGAAACATGCATGGTAGGAGGCGGGACTTATCCTGGAGAGGCTGGCCGTTCATCCCGGAACACTCCTTTTATGGGCGTTGTTGACAGGACCGCGAGGGTGCACCAGCAGTATCAACAAGCCCCTTCCAGTTCTGCGTCCTGTCTCAGCCCTTCTCGATCCTGGGCCGTGTCTTCAGTGGACACGGTCGTCACCTCGCCGAGCAAAAACCCCACCAATCAAGGCTTTGGGCAACTCCAGCCATCCTCTATCGCCTACCACAACCGCAGCAACAACAATGCACACAATGGTCACCTCCTCCATGACAACCAGCGCGACTACTACGAGGTGCTGCCGGGCAGTGGTCATCAGAGTGAAGGCTCGGTGCAGGTTGTCAGTCAGAATCCCTCTTACCTGGATGTGAAGCTGGCTCGAACACTGCCAGTGATCCAGAGTGACAGACAGACAGGACCTATCTCTCCTGTCAAACCAAAAAGACCCTTTGTAGAGTCCAATGTGTAGAGAATAGCTTGAACGTTAAGTCAGAGACAAGGGAAGAGGTTAAATGAAGAGTGGTTAAAAAGAAACGAGTGCACTTCAGTTAGGCTTTGGAATTATTAAGGCCTAGCTATGCTTGAAACTGACTAGTTTGTACGACTTGTTGTCCGTACAACATTCAGAGGGGCGAGACGCAATAATCGTTGAAAACAGCACACACTTTCAGTCTCTCTTAGAAAGGGAGTACAAGAGAGCTTGAGAGAGAAGTTCCTGCCTACCTGGCCAGTGGCTGCATGGAGTGGGCATGCTTGCAGGATCGTAGGTTTCGGAAAAAGAAGCAATCCCTTTGAAGCATACGGATTCCTTTATTGTTCAGAAGAGATATGGGAAGGTAGAAATTAAACATGCAAATGGGCTATGAAACATATTGCAGGTCTGACAACTAACCAGCCAGAGACAAAGAAACGACACAAGGACGAAGGGAATGAGCGAAGGACGAGAGTGCTTGAACATGAGATAGCTCCTGCCATTAGAAAGCACAATGAGGACGAGAAAGAGTTGGGGAAAAATCAGAAGTAAACACAAGAAAGACACCAGGTAGCACTTCCTTCCTTCCTCCCTGTTCATCTCTGGCTTACAGGACATTTCAAAACTGAAGTCTCACTGAATGCCCATAATGCACTGCTCTGGAGTTTTTCTGCCAAGTTCACTTACGCAACTCTAGACGGTGACATTGGGTGGGACAAGAGAGACACATAAGCACCACTATCACCTTCGTCTGCTGCTGACGCCTTTAAAGAAGATTTTCCTTTCAAGTTTGAAGCGCTTAAATGATACAACGACTGGAAACCTACACACAGTGAGTGCAAGATCCAGGCCCAAAACTTGTGCCAGTCAGATGCTGGTCAGTGACCCGGTCCCAAGCCATAGTTTGAGAAACTAGGATAATGCTGTCATTGAAAAAGCACTGACTTGTTGTACATACAAACAAAAATATGTGATATTTATCTTTTTTAAGTTATATCTGTATTAAACTTTGGTATAAATATTGTTTCTCTTGAAGCTGTATATTCCTTTTGGATTTGCCTTTATATGTTTATTTGAGGGTTTTTCACACAGGACATGGGAATGGAAACCAGCTTTTCAAAGAGACAAAAAAATAAGAGCAAAGTCTCTCTTCCTGCTTGTGTGTGGTGTCATCCATCTGCAATGAACATCCTGTAAAAATGGCTTTTAAGACTTTTGGATTTGTTTTTCCTTTTGTTTTTTGGTTTAGGTAGTTATTTTTGTTTTTTCTATGAAGGCCTTTTGTATTACATAGTCCTGAAAGTCCTAATTTATGCAAACCACAAGGATCCCAACTGATACACCAGGGACCCTTACATTGCCATGGAAACATAGTGATTACATGCCCCCTGAGTTGGTGATTGGCTCCTTCTACTGTCAGTTACCCCTCCCCCAAAACAGCGATTGTCCAATCATAGCTTAGCAACCGTAACTAAGCACAGCATGGCCTGTCAAGCACTGGATTTTTAAAGTTCTGCAGTTGGTGTGGTGGATTTTTATTCCTAGCCTTTCCAAAACCAAGCAAGCGCAAGTGTAAGGAATGGATTTAACCTGGTTTATCTTCTCTAACCTGAGCTGCAATCATTAGCGTGCCTGGCTAATTAGCTTAACACAGTAGTAATTTAGCATTACATCCTAGGCACCAGTCACCCACTAGCATCTCCACTGTGTAGTATTTAGCCACTGTGTGTAGGCTCTGCGATTAAAACTTCAGGTCTTCAAAGTTTCGATCTTAAAATAATAATTAAAGCTTTAAAAATAACGATTTCATTTAGTTTAACAGAAATGAACGCATTGCTGATATAAAGGCCATTTTTCACCCCTTTCAATCAAGAAGGCATTGTGACTTGTGGTAAATCTCTCGCCCCCATCAAAACTCAATATTTGCTGTGTGAGAATGTAGAGCTTGACAGGCGCAGCGACAATAACAAGGGGAGGGGGTTAGTGTGACTAACAAGAGGTGGGACTAAGCGTTCATTTTTTTAAAGCGTATTTTCTGCACACAAATGCCTGATTTTTGTACATTTCTTTTTGTTTCTAATAAATCAGCCTGGTTTCAGACACGCTGATGCTGATAGAACCTATGACCTCTGACCTCTCTGTCACGGTACAGTCTCTGTGACCACTGCCCTTATTTCTTACTGCTCAGGAGTTTCCAGCTGTGAGAAGACGTGGTAATGCTTAACCACTCTGGTTCACGAGCCGTTTCCACGGTCGGACTGCTGGGGACGGTGTGTAAGTCTGGCCACTTAGAAGGATGAAGTACATTATTAGCAAGTTAATTGGATGTCCAAGAGTTTCACATGATTAAAAGGATAGTCATAGTGCATCAGTGTTAGCTTTAAATCCTTGATGAGCTGGATGACAGATGTGTTGTCTGCCAATAAAACAATGTGTTGTGCTGTACATGTAGGATGTAACCCCCAACCTGCTTAGGGGTCCCGAGCCCACATGTAATCGAGCATTACTGTGTGTGTGTGTGTGTGTGTTCCCCCATCAGTGGGTTTACTGTGGGCTTTTTCACTTTGTGTAACATAGGTTAATATTTATAACCCAGGATGGCTCTAACAGTAAGAAGAAGATGATTTAAACATTTAAAACGACATGAATGTGTCAGCTCTTGAAATTACTGACTGCTGAATTAACATTACAAAGGAATAAAGCTGAATGAAAGACAGGTCTGTATCTCTTTCTTTCTCTCTCTCTGTCTCTCTCTCTCTTCGGGTGTTATGGTACATGTCCACAGGGGTGTTTTTGGACGCAGGAGGATTGACGCTCTGTCCCTCAAAATGCACCGTGGCACTACCAGAATGCACTGCACGGCTGCTCACATAGACAATGACTGATGCTGTGGACACACCTTTAGGGGATTGACCCAGGGGGCTGTTAACAATTTGACATAATCTTTTATTCATGTACACACAGAAAAATGATGGGTTAAAAATAACCCAACTTGGGTTGTTTTATAACCCCACCGCTGGATCAATATTGCACCAGACCAGCAGTTGTTAATTTGACCCAGCAAGATGGGTTGGTCCTTGACCCAACAGATGAGTTAAATATTCTACCCAAATGCTGGGTCAAATTAATTACAATTCTGGGTTGTTTCAACTACATATTTGTTATATACTCTACCCAAATGCTGGGTCAAATTAACCAATATGCCAGATTAATTCTAACACATTACAGTACAATTTATGAAAATGAATTGCAATAGACTACCCATAGCTATAAAACTGTTAAACTACAAACCTGTAACAAAATACATGCTAGATTTATGCATATATTATGCAATAAACACTTAAATAATACTGGAATCTTTGAAAAAAATTATTATTAGAAAATAACAATATAGTGGAACTGGAACAGTTCAAATCAGTCAGGTAGTAAAACATTCAGTGCAAAACAACAATTATGAATGAACTGGCTGAACATTCAACAGGCCAACAGTCAACAGGTCTATAGTGAACATTTTTCAAATTCCTGTTTGCCTTGTATTAAAAAGCTGTCCTTGAGGCCATTAGCTCTAATTGCAAGCAAGTATTCTAGTTTGAAGAAACCTTACCTCATTGGCAATACAGCTTAAAACTGCATCAATGTTATATGTTTATTTTTCTGTCGTGTTTCTGGCCCTCAAATTTACAAATCTTATGACGAAGTTAAGACCCGCCCTACTCTGCTTCTGATTGGCCACGCCTGATGCAGCTTTCACATCTCAAATTATATCAGAATTTTAAGTCAGGTGAAAAACACAACCGGACAAACTGCCATTTCACACATTTTTATTTCAGGTTGTCCCAATGAGATTAAGACTGCCCTTTAAAAGATGACAATATCAAAGACAAACAACATCGGTAAAAGCTTTGTATTAGGCACTAGTGAGAAGTCCTGAAGTTAAGCCAGTAAAACCCCAAAAACTATGTTTTTAATTAAATTAAACACATTGAAAGAGGAATTTAACAGCTTTAGGTAAAAATGCATCAATAATACATACATTACTGAATAAACACTGAACAGATTTTTTTTTTTAATGACAGTCCATTTAAATACAGACAGCTTACTAATGGTAAAATGGAATACATTTTGTTTATGCATTATGTTTTATGGACAAACTACTGACTGGGCTTCTCACCACGTGGGACTGGGACAGGTATAGATACTGTGGGACATCAAATAAAAGGACTTAATTAGAACCCAATTAATAGTGTTGTGACCTACAAAAGCAGTGCGTCAAATTATTTTCACAAAAGCTAAACCTTTTCTAAAAGTTTGAATTACAGCTTATACCACTTCCAAAAATCTATTTTTAAATTTTTAATGTATTTTTTATTATGCTCAGTGGTTAATCCCCAATAGTGAAAATCAAGATGGCAGATATATGTAATATAGGTGGTTCCTAATAGAATGTGTAGATTAAGAGATAATCAAATGTGAGCACACTTTGTCATCAGTTTGACTTTTGGTGTGTTACAAAGCCAAGACTATCTGAGTCCTTGAATATTCCGTATCTGCCAGTAGTCCAATCAGATTTATCTCAATGACACAGCCGCCCAGTGTACATTCAAGCAACAACTTAATTCAACTGGAAAAGTTCAGAGGAGATTTGTGCGTGATATATGCTCAATATACATAAATTACAAATAATTATATACATAGCAGCAGCAAATATGCAATTTTGATAAGACACATATCCAATACATTGAAATAACTACAACTTCTAAAATTGGCACTTCTTATTTTTTCTTCTTGGTCCAAATACTGAAGGTCCTAGATTAAAGCTGCAGCAGGTAACTTTTATAAAAATATCTTTTTGTGGTATTTGATACAATTTTCACTGTGTCGTACATAATAATAATAAAATGGCTCCTCCTAGTGCTCCTAACGGCATTTGCAAGAATCTAACAGGCCTGGATGACAACAACCAATCAGAGCAAAGAAAGATAATTGATGTGATTTTTTCAGAGATTATCTGTCTCGTGTACTACATAATACAATGAAAGTTTCAACAAACATTACAAAAATATTTGTATAAAAATGACATACTGCAGCTTTAATACTCTTAAACTTGTTAACCTTTCAGTGTTGTATGAATGAACGTGGAGAATGCGAGCCCTGACTCGATCAGTCAACATCTTTACTAGAGCAGATGTATCACTCTGTTCATTTTGTTGGAACTACTAAAACATTTCCTGCAATAACAGATTTGTGGCTGTCCAAAGTTAGCGAAACTGTATTTTGCCAATCCACATTTAAGAACATTCACACACTTTGCAACACTAGCAGGCTGAGGAGGACTAAACACATAACAGTGTGTACAGTGAAGACAGGATCATACTTTGATGGGTTTTATGTAAGCTGGTACCAGTCCCAGACATCAACTAAAGACATTTATAGTGCTGGCCAGTAAAGACTAACCAAGGTTGTGGTGAGTTTTATTTTGTATCTGTCGAGTTTGAATTAAGTGTCACAACGTTACAAGGTAAAATCACTGTTTTTGTCAATGGAGTCTGGTGGCGTTGAACAGAGCAATATAACTGATGCTGGCCAAGCAAAACAGATCTTACTCTTTCAGAAAAAGGTCTATCTCTGTAGGGATCCTTTTCAGAATGTTGTCAGACACTTATAATGACAATTATTTTCCATTTACTGCAATGCGTATTTTTCACTTATATTTTATATTCTTTTTTAATTAATTGTCAAAATAAAAGCATAAGTTCCAATAAATAATTTTGGTATGATAATAGAGATATCATTAACGCTTTCGGTCCATGATTTGATGGACAAACCTAAACTTTTGAAAAGTAGGTATTAACAGAGACTGGTAGCACAGCTAGTCTGTTGGCAGGACACTGGTCCAATGAGGTGGAGGTGTCACACGTCTCACTGAGGTCAGGGTGTGGTGGGTGACCCGCCCTCAGTCAGGGTCTTAAAGTGGACAGACAGAGACTCTTCCTCAGGGTTTGGCGGACGTCTGTACTCCTCCTTGGTGATCAAGTAGCCCAGCAGCACCCCGAAACACACCAACAGGATCCCCAAGATGTTGGCCAGCACCCCCTCTGGGGCAAACAGAGAGTAGCTTGACCTGGGCCCAGGGAGAGACAGACTTATATCAGATACAAATAGACACAAAGTATATACAGTACAGATATGTAAATAATAAGACATAAGTGAAATAAATGTACTGAATGTTGTATAATCCTTAAAAACCCAGCTTTTGAACAATGTATGGTTGGCCAATGTATTTACATTCTGTTTTCTCAATATAATAGCTTTAATTTTTCACCCTGGATTCAAACTGCCCTGGAATGATGCAGCATGTAATCCAGCATTACACTTTGTAATTTTATCATCAAAAATGCATCTACAAAACAACAGCCATTTTGTGTGCTTGACTTCTGTGTATGATTAAAAATGAGCATTTTAAGACCGGAACCCATTGACATTGTTTGTACCTGCAGTTGTTGGTGTAAACAAGCATACTTAAAAGACCTTTTTGCCTTTCTGGTTGGAAACACTTTCTATCAAAGAAACAGTCCAAATAACATCTGTTAAAATTCCATTCACCTCCATTATGTTGGTGTGTTGGTAGAATTCTATCTCATATAAAACCAATGCTATCCACATTGTTAAATAGCACTCAAGGTAAGTGAGCAACTGTGTTTTTTTTATAATGATTAAAAAGTAGAGAGACAGGCAGGTACAGACGGACAGTCAGACAGACATACTCGATGCTGAAGAGGAGTTTCTCCGTGATGCCGAGCAAGCTGCTCCCTACGGCCATAACCAGCAGAACCAGACCACAGAACACGTGGATGGGGAGATACGAGGCTCGCAACCAGGACGACGCAGTAGGAAACAGGAAGAACATCAAACCCATCACCCACTATCAGAAGAAGAGGGGCCAAAAAGTAAGTGTTATTGTTACACACATTACACTTGAGATATGTATTATGTACGTATATATTGTGTGTGTATGTGTGTGTGTACCTGTATGCAGAATAAGACTAAGGTAGACATGCCGCACCAGCTGTGTAGAGAGTACATGTCTGGAATCTTTGCTGCTCTGTGGAAGTCAAACACAGCTACAAAGCCTACACACACAGAGAGAGAAGTTATAATTTAGGTATCTTTTTCTCTCAGTTTCTGAATCACACACACACTTTTTTCACACTTTGACACATGCACATCTCACTCACCTATGATGCTGATGATGAGGGCGAGCAGGTGAATGATGCCATGGAGCAGCTTTACGTTCCTCTTTGCCTCATTTCGAAACACTCTGTAGACCAGGATGGCTGGAGAGAGAGAGAGAGAGAGAGAGAGAGAGAGAGGTACATTTTTTAGTATTTTAACACATACTGATAACATAATGAGTTTATTACAGTCTCAGTTGTGGTCCCGTGTCAAGCTGAGGCATCAAATTCACTCATTCATTTATTCATTCAAATAAAACTTTCACCAAGAACAAAAAGTGGTTTCAAAATCAGGGGGAATAGAGGAGGAGGAGGAGGACTATATATATATATATATATATACCAACCAAGCAAAAATACTCAAAATAATAAACCCAGATATTTTTTTACACTGTGAATGACTGCAGGAAAGTACACCCAAATAATGATATTATAAAATTTGCTGATGATACTGCGATTTTGATCCTTCTCCACAGGGACATGGACCTTTCTGTGTACCACAATGAGAATGCCACCTTTATCATCTGGTGTCACGCCAACCATCTTATTTTAAATGTCACAAAAAAACACAGGACATGGTGCCAGTGGTAATCAAATACAAGAAAAGCACACAGGTGTCCACATAGACAACCTTCTTCGCTGGAAAACATACACTGATCACCAATAGACTGAAGCAGAGACTGTACTTTCTTTTGGGACTTAAGGAGTGAGCAGCCAGATCATGCTGATCTGATGTTTTACTGGGAGAGCATCATTAGATATGGAATCACAGCACGGTCTGGCAACTTAACAGTGCTTCTGGAAAGCAGGCTGGCCAGCACGTACAAAGTAGCTGTGAGGATAATAGGGAGGACAGAATATGAGCCCATACAGAGTCTGTAGAGTGTAAATCAAACAGACGGAAGTTATCGTTCGCCCCAACCTCTATCTAGCTGCTCAACTCTAAACACTAAATTGTAGTGCAAAAGGACAATGTGCAATAAATAAACCAGCACCACTGCATTCAATAGCATTGAAAATGGATGGGATCATCCCATGTGTGAGACAACAAATAAGAGACATTACAGCACATGTAGAAGGTGTAAAGAGGCTTACAGAGAGCACACATTCATGCAGAACCTCCAGCTGTGTTTCCTTTTATCTATGCAAACAGTTGAACTCTATACAAATGCTTATTGTGTTCAGTTTAAATCCTTTCTTTCAGCCACCTGTGCCAGCAGCTACACACCATTCCCACTAAGCAGCTTCACATTGTTTTTGCTGATTAAGTGCGGATACAGATCGCAGAGAAAAAAGATTAGTGGTCAATTGTATCCACATTAGAGTGGACGTGATCATAGCGAATCAGCTTTGAGGTGTGTGTGTGTGTGTGTGTGTGTGTGTGTGTGGGTGAGGTCCCCCCTCAGGGTGTTTCCATCTCTTACTAACCCCCCTGTCAGTCTTCGCCTAATGTCCAGCTGACCTTTGCTTTTATCGCTCTAATGCAATCTCGCTCTGTACCAGACAGCTGTGAACCAGTTGAACTGATCTGGTTACTCTCATTAGCAAAAGTAGCCAGAGCTGCAGGCGCGAAACAGAGAGGATGAAGGACAGCGACATCTCCGTCGGTCTTTATTTCTGGGACCACAGACATCGGCAGGATTTGCGGCAGCGTGAGCAGGCAGCACGAGAAAAATACATCATGCAAAATGTGGACGCCAGCAATTTTGACAGTAGCCTGACCCTTAAAAGAAACAAGTTTAACATTTTATGTGCATTCTTCTATAAGGTCTGCTGCTGTCGGGTGAAATCCCTGCACGTTCCAACAGTACTGGCGTCTGATTGTCCACATGTCCTTACTTCTTACTGAGTACTGCCACCCCTGTTTCTTATGGGCGTACCCACCATTGAGGGTACACCATGTATGGACCTCAGTATTCTTTGCTTAGATGCTTTAGTGCCCCTAACAAGCTCATTTTTTGGACCTTGGTATGCTGGTGAGGTACTCCTAAACGCTCTCTGTGTAAGCCCACAGAAGACAGAAGAAAAACGCCAAAAGAAATAGTGTTAGTGTTATGTTGTGTTTAGGGTTGAGCCTTGAACCTTTTTTGGTCCAATTCAGGCACTGTCCAACAGCATATAAAGAGTAAAACTGCTGTACGAGCTAACAGCTACACATTCCTGTTATCTTCACACAGTCGTTTTAAGTCGGAGGAATGCAATCTTCACGATAAGGCCAGGCTTTGTTGAAATGATCAAGCTCGTGGGCTATCACGCGTTGCCAAGGCAAAAGTGCCGCACTGGAAGGTGGGGTGAAAAGTCTGCAGTCACACAGACAATAATTGTTAAACGCACACTTTTTGACAGTCATGGTGTGGTTGCACTCAGCTGTACCACAAAAAATAAAGGAAGTAGTTTTGTGTAGAATGATAAGAAGGCTTAAAGGCCTGGTCACCCCAGGATGTGGCACAGTCTTCATCCACACGTCTTCATGAAATATTTAGACTTGGTGACAAAGAGTCTTCTCACAGGGCTAGTTGGTAAGATACTGTAGGTGGCGAGCTAACAGTAGCCAGCAGAGAACACGGTAGTGCTAGCCTATGTTAGCACCTGGAGCTTCTTCCTATTTGCTCTGTGCTAGGGCCGTTTACTCCTCCATTATTTTGTTCTCCGGACTGTAACATCATTTCATTCAATAGGAATTACTGAAGCTAACAAGCTTGCTCGTCTGCTCAGTCACTGAGGGGACAATAAGTTCACACTGTATTTTATCATCGACTGCTGTCTGTCGGCCATTCTTTTGTGGAGCGCTTTCAACTATGGTGCAACACTATAAGCTACATTAGCTTCTTCCATTTTGGTCTCTCTGGCTCTGTGTCAACAGTGTTAAGACAGCTTGCTAGTGGTAGAAATTCAAGGGTCAACGGCTATGTTCACACTGCAAGCCAATAGTGCTCAATTCTGATTTATTTGTACTATTCACATTAAAAAATAAGATTTGAGTCACATATGAGCAATAACAATAAAACAATCAGATATGGTCCACTTTGGCACAGAGAAAGATTTACTTCACCCTCATGAGCAAATCCACTGATTCACTGGAATGAACTAATGTTGCTGCAGCATTTTGAAGCATTACATGTTGGTGTCCTTAAAAACCCCCTGCAGACATGTATTAAGACATATACAAATAGTCTGCTTGGAACAATAATATGATGTGTTTTTTCCTGCAATAAGTCCATTCTCAGTGGATGTGCACTGGTGGTTTTAAGTTTCTACATCACACTGTACAAGTTGCATACTGGACCAGGACTGACTTCCTAACTATTGTGATGTCACAAATCATGCTGGTAGGCCCCGCCCCCTAAAATCAGCTTTTCAATAAGCACAGAGAAACTTTCCACTTTCAGCAGATGGATGTGAAAACATCCTTCTAATGTCAAACTCTGCACAGACAGCATTCAAACAGCACACTGTAGGGACAGGAAGGGACACTGATCTTTGTGTGGAGGGCGGCTTTAAGGGAGAAGTTCAAATCCTGCCTATGTTCACATGTCCTCACGTCTGGCCAATTGGCCATTGTACGAAATGGGTGTGCTTGTCAGATTGTTACAAAAAATTACAAATATTTGTTTGGAGGCAACCCCACTGACTGACCACTTTATTCCCATTGTTATTCCTTATGTCCTTTGCTTTCTAGAGTCCCTGTTCATTTTACATATATTATGAGCCTTTTGTCAGATTGACCACAAACCTAAATTGGTCCAAATGGTCATTAAAGCTTCCATCATCAGATTGTTTAGATAAATTTAAACAAAACCACTCCTCAAACATGGCTATGCAAATGGCTTCACACAGCATCCCCTTTGCTCTGTAGCTGAAAGACGCTGCTCAGTTTGCTGACTGGCTCTTCCTCTGCCATTGGTTCCATTCCCTGTGGGGCCACTCTGTCAAAGCTTCACTGGATATGTCCCAAAAACACACGCACAAACTGGCATGTTCAATGATTCAAACCATTCCTTCTCTCTAAATCAGACTTACTGGGTGGGGGTGGGGGGATTGATGGGTGTCTGGGTACTGTTAGCTTAATGCAACAGGTCAGCGACAGAGTGCTTGAGGCTAATGCGCACACTCATAACCACAGACACACACAAAACAGGCTGACTAAAATACAGCCTCCACGATCGGCTGACCTCTGCTTCCTGTTTCACTTAATTTACGGAATGTTATCTGAAAATGACATGGCGTAACCATGACTACAATCTGATTTAAGATCAGCAGGGTTAATCTGAAGATATCAGTGATGTCAGCGATATGGTAGGCAGGGACGACGGCTCACTTCCTGCAAGGAAAATCTATTTTAATGTTCACCAGTTTCAATAACACGCTTTATTGTTTTCAGAAAGGCAGCTGGACTCGCAAGATCACAAGACAATCCATCTTTCCAGGCTTACATCTGTGAGTTGTTGGCCAGGACAGTGGTTACGGACCAATCAGCATCCTTTGTGGAAGTACTGGCAGCTACAGGGTGGGCGCTAGGTGTGACGCAGCACGCAGACACTGTTCGTTAAACAACAGCAACTCCTTTAGAGGTTAGCGTAGATGATGCTAGCATCAGTTATATCAGAACTGGAGATAGACGTAATAGACGGATGGTTCATCCAATCACCTGCTGAGTATTTTTTTCCAACGAGGACTTCCCAGATGGTTCCATGTAACAAACCATCTGTCCAGTTATGAAAGGAATGCTAAAGGAGAGACTGCACTGACTTACAGAAGCTAATGCACCACAGGACTTCCACTCTGTATACCTGCAGAAAATCTGCATATGTACACTGCCACTGTGAGCATATTAGCACACCAATGTGCCTACACCTGAGGCCTGAGTTATAATTGCATTTTTAATTTTCTTTTTTTTTACATTTACATTTTTACATTTGCATTGTGGACGCATCGCAGCCGACAAGAAACGCTCCAAACGGATGCAGGATATGCGTGGCAGCCATCATATGCACGCGATAGTGTAGTTAAAAGCAAGTATATCCCCGGCCATACAGAGCCGCTCACGTGGCTGTAGACTCTTAGCCCTGGTTCTCCCCAACTGACTGAATTAATATAGTTCTGGACTGAATGTAGAAGTATAAAGTGGATCAGTCAGTTTGACGTGGTTCTCAACCAGATTTGCTACAATTCAGACTGACCCTTTTTCAGTCAGTAAGTCATTCTTCCACTTTAGTCCAATGTGAAATAACCTGCCATGACATTTGGTACAGACATTCATGGTACCCAGATTATGAATCTTAACTTTTCATGTAGCACCGCTAACAGGTCACTGCTGCCTCTGCCACTCTTTGCTTGCCATCGTGGACGTGTCAACATTCACAAGCTGGCGAGTAGCTCGCTTTGTGCCCAACAACGACCCTTTTCGACCCTTTTCTTTTTGGTGCATTGACCAGATTCTTTTCAGCCTCAGCCTTGCATTAATGGTGTGTTCCATTTGAACTGGGAAGACGGACTTCCTGAGGTCCCATTTGGAAATTTCAACTGGAACACCCCCTGAAGTCAGATTTGCAACTAGGAAAGTTAGAAGAACCTTACCAACCCAGACCTCAAAATCTAAAATGGCTGTAAGCTGTAGGAATATACTGTTTATTAGCACTTGTGTCTTTTATGTCTGTTATTAAATCAGTCGTACACACAGTACTGTCCAACTTCTGTCTGTGGATATGCTGTAAAGGTGTTTGTATGGACAGAATACGGCGTTATCAACTGGTATTGCCAGCTTTGTTTACCGATTGTTGTACTGGAACATGGTCAACACAGGTGTTATGTCATTCCCAGCTCTGGCTTCAGTCTTCCAAGGTAAATGACATGCGTATAAGATTAATGCTAATGTAGCATTTGTGTGTTGACATGCCAACTCAAAGCTAGGCACATCAGGTCCTCACTTTTTATGCGATACGATAGCCTTAAAAAAAGTTTAGTTTATCATTCAATACATTTAAAGTGGTGTTAAGTAGTCTGGGGCACATGTAACTACAGCCTTTCAATGCTGATACCTTTTGTCCACTGAAATAGTAGAGGTCCTTAAAAATGTTAATAAAATGAATTATGGGATAGTGAAACTGTACAGCTTCCTCTGAGACTGACAGTAATCAGTGATCAGACTCACCGTCGCCGTGCAGGAAGACCAGCCCCAGTACCATGCACAGAGGGTGCAGGTTGAACTCCCGCGCTGAGCCGTCCCAGGCGAAGCCCCCGTGGTAGTGACCCATCCACACACCGGTCAGCACCACCGATGTCACACCCAGCAACTGTGACGCTCCCACCAGACACGCAAACATAGAGCGACCGGTACGTGGAGCAGAGTCCTCCATGATCTGAGAATGACAAATACAAAGAATGAACTCATGCCTTGGGCTGTGCTCTTTGTTGAACTAAATTAAAATGAATTTGATTAGGAAGCTGAGGTAGAGAAAGACATTTTTAATGAGGTAGAAGGAGGTTTTTAGCAGAAAGAAGATATCAGACACACATTATTGTTCCAAGCATGCTGTCTTAATAGATGTCTGGAGGGGATCTTTAAATAATGTTTAATCTTACTATATGTTATTAATGTAAACCTTATTAGTGTATCATCAGTTCTGCATTCTAAATTTGACTTGAGTAAAAGTACCATATTATCAGCAAAATGTCCTTTAAGTATCAAAAGTAAAATTACTCATTATACAGAATTGCCCCTGACAGTGTTTGGTCTACATTATTGTATTACTGGATCGTTATTATTGGTGCATTAAGTATGAGTAGCATTTTATTGTTGTAGTTGGTTGAGGTGGAGCTCCTTTTAGCTACTTTATATACAGCTAGTTTTATTTATAACATTAATTACTTAGGCTACTTCCGCTGTGAACTCCAAATCAAGTCTGACAGGCTGATAAAAGTACAAGTGTAAGTAAAAGCTACTCAATTGGAGCAAAGCATTTCAAAGCTGCAGTAGGGAGGTTTTATAGAAATAACCTTTTTTCATATTTGCTAAACTTTCACTATATCCTGACAGTAGCTCAGATCAGCTCTGATTGGTTGTTTGGTAGATTGTCGCAAATCCCATTAGGAGCTCTAGGAGGAACCAGAGGAACCTGATTGTTTCACAGATTATCTGTCTCATGTTCTACTGTCAGAATATAGTGAACGTTTCAGATAATATGACAAAAAAAATCTTTTTATAAGTTTTGCTGCAGCTTTAAGGGTGAAATACGACTCACAGAGCTCCTTATAAAATCCAATAAAAAGACAAGGAACCCACATCTGCTGCTGTTATCGTGTTTTCTAACAGCCGAAGAGTCATACTACAAACATGACGTTGAGATTACATACAGGAAGTGTCGCACCGAGCTGAGGACGGAGTTATACGAGGACATGAGCAGAAATGAACTCAGATCAAACGGCTTTCTGCCCGCTCGCCTCTTCATCGCAGCTTCTGCACCCTGCGCTCACAGAAGTCATTATTACAACCTCCTATAAGTGAGTTCTCACTCCCGGTCCAGACCCATCACAGGTCCATTACCACTCAGTCCCACTGCCACAGCCACAGGGACATTACAGGGGAATTATAGGCTGCTGTAATGCTTCGGCTCCGACGGTGAGCTGGCACCTGTTACCTGGGATCTGCACGACTCACACTATATTTCACTCTGAGGGTATGATTTAACTCCTGCTCTGGTGGTGATAACAACATTAAACAAGCAGTTTCCATATGGGAACACGAGTGGGAATAATAAAGAGCTGATGTACTTACTGCGCTGCTGGCTGCTCTCTGCTCAGCTTAGGAAGTCCCGGAGTCTACTTACAGATCCGCCTCCTCCTCCCCTGACTGTGCAGATACGTCTCTCTCTCTCTCTCTCTCTCTCTCTCTCTCTCTCTCTCTCTCTCCTGTGTGTGTGTGTGTGTGTGTGTGTTTTTGGAAGCCCTCCTGAACAAGCGCAACCCATGTGACAGCAGGAGGGTGAGGAAATAACTAAATACAGTGTTACACTAACACTAGGAGCATTGTTACCATGTTATTATTATTACTATCAGCCCTCTGTTATGTTGCTACTGTATTATATAAAAGGAATCTCTTGCAGTCAAACTCAGATATATAATAAATAAATAAATAAATACTCAGATAAAATCACTACATTGGTTTCGTCACAAAAACGTCACAATAACATCAAGAGAGAAGGGTGGGGGGAAGGGGAGTGAACTGGGTGGATTGATGACTAACACAGCTCCAGTTTAAAGGTTTGTTGCCTTGACAACACTGAAGTGGGGAGAGGGGGAGGGGTGGGCGATGGAGGGTGGAGGAGAGGAGATGGTGGAGAGGAAAAGGAGGCAGAGAGGGGGAGGATGGGAGTGTCTGTCAGTGAATCATAGCTGCTCATTAGAGGCTGACTAGTCAACAATCAGCAACAATCAGCAACCCGATTAATGTGCCTCACACCCACTTATAAAACACCCACACCATTGGAGCTACCACTAATATTGCCATACCTGCTCCTCCTGCTGTTAGAACATTAGGACTAATACTGCTACTCTTAATACTGTTACCAGCACTGATAGGACTAGTGATTCAATACAATTCAATTTAATTTTATTTGTATAGCGCCAATTCATAACAGAAGTGATCTGAGGACACTTTTCAAATAGAGCAGGTCTACACCGAACTCCTTATAACATTCTGATGCTGATAATAAAATGCACTTGTTTCTAATTATTTTCAATCTATTCAAAAAGTGTAATGGAGCATAATTTGTATTTTTGTATTGTAAGCTACTGCTTTGTTTTGGCCCATTACGGTGACCTATGATGTAAGTAGTGTAATAGCACTTATTCAGGTAGTAATGTTTGCAGGATTTAAACCCACATTTTACTAAGATTCCCACCAGATATCTATCAAGATATATATACAATAGTCTGCTTGAAACAATATTGTGTGTCTGATTTGTTTTTTCCTGCAAAAAGGTTTCCACATTAAAACCCTTAAAAACCCATCTCCTCCTTCTACCTCATTAACACTTCCAGAATCTCTGAATATACAAATGTTGTTCATCTCTAAAGTTTCCTGCTGGACACAAGATGTCTCCTACTTCACTGTAAAGTCCATTCTCAGTGGATGTGCACTGGTGGCTTCAAGTTTCTACATTCTCTACAGTTTCTCTTACTAATTAGTTGCATGCCCGATCAGGACTGACTTCCAAACTATTTGTAACTATTAGTGCCCCAGCCCTTACAATCAAATGTTCAATGAGTAAAGAGAAACTTTCCACTTTCAGCAGAGGAATGTGAAAACATCCTTTTAGTGTCAAACTCTGCACAGACGGCATTCTGCACAGTGAAAAACATATTATTGACTGGAAGGAGACTTTAAGTACAGTAAATAATGGACTTATTATCATTATCAAAGGTAAAAGTACTAGTATAATTCCGAATGCCCCCTTGGCCATGTAATAAGCTACAACACATTCTATTAAATGAATGATTTGAAAGTCAAAATACGTCAGTATCATCTGTGAGGTAATGATGACGTCCCAATGATTTCAGATGAGGAGAAAGCTGCCTGTTGCTGGCAGAGGATGGAGGTAAGGAGTCCAGCCCCATCAGAGCTGTCAGGACATTTGACTGGTAAGTAAAAGTCCAAATTGAAATGAAATATTAAATATTTTCTGTGATGACAAGTTTATTATTACAGGGTGTTTTCACTACTGGATTTGCACCATCCATGTGTATTTTTACTGAAATGGTTTTGGTTGGTTTTCAGATTATTTCATTAGAGAAACTAATGACATCACTGGCCTTTGATTATACAAGTAAACCTACAAACACTATTTCAGAAAACTATATTGAATAATATGTAGAAAAAATGTACATGTACCATTTGTACATTTAGTATATTTTAAGTGATAAAATAAAGGAATGTCCCTTGTAGTTACTGACTTTTCTCTGGTAATACAAATCCAGTGAAAAAAATATGAATATTTTTACTTTTCATTATTTTCATAAATCGATTATTGTGTTGCTTATACTGTTAAGTTGGTTTCATTTAATTAAAAAATAATTTAAAACAGTTACAGTCTACTCCACTTTTATTGAAGCAGTTTACAAAGGTAACCCACACACTTTTCGACAACACACAATTACAATCTTCATAAAACAGATGGTGGTGTCGGTTGTAGTCTTCCAGAATCTTCAGGTGGAGGTGGTGGCTGTTGCTGACATGGGTTGCAGGGGAGTACCTGCAGGTGGAGGTAACTGCAGGTTGCTAGAAGAGGCTGCAGACATTTGCAACAGACTTAAGGTCTCAGCTGTCTGCCAGAATCTGCAGGTGGAAGAAGCTGCAGCTTTTTGGCACAGGATGTAGGTGGAGGTTTAGCCTGGAGTTTTCTGCCACAAGGCTGAGGCTACAGGTGGAGTTTGAGGTCTCAGCTGTCTTCCAGAATCTGCAGGTGGAGGAAGCAGCAGGTTGCTGGTAGAGGCTACAGGTAGAGTTTGTGGTCTTAGCATTTTGCCAGAATCTGCAGGTGGAGGAAGATGCAGCTTTTTAGCACAGGAAGTAAGTGGAGGAAGCTGCAGGTTGCCTGAAGAGGTTACAGGTGGAGTTTGAGGTCTCAGCCTTTGGCCAGAATCTGCAGGTGGAGGAGGCTGCAGTTTTTTGGCACAGGATGAAGGTGGAGGAAGCTGCAGGTTGCTGGAAGAGGCTCTAAGGGGTTGTTAAGGATGCATGTCTGTGCCAGAATCTGCAGGTGGAGGCAGTGGTGCAGGTTGCAGGCAGAGGTTTGAAACAGCTGTGTTTGGAGGATTTGGCAGGTGGAGGTGGCATTTGATGTTTCTGGCAGAAGGTTTCAGTGGAGCATGTCTTTACAGTTTTCTGCTCTCTGTAGGTGGAGACTAGAGGAGCAGATGGTTGATGTCATAGGAAGGCAGAGTTTAGATCTGAAGTGGGTGGAGGAGACTGTAGTCCTGGCAGGTGATAGGTGGTGGTTGAGGTTGAGGTTGAATTAAAGGCTGCATTTACTGATGTTTAAAAAAACCTATTCTATTGAACTAGTATAATATTTACAGATGCAGAGTAACTGCTCCTTCAGTGTCACTTTGAGTTCTTAGCCCTTTTACTTGGTGGCTGAGCAGGGCTCGGCTCTCCCAGCGTGACAATATTATGAAGGGGTGGAGAACTTCCAACTCCATATGATATGTCCACACGCATGAGTCCACCATCACTTTCTGACACTGTCATTGTGGGGCGATTCAGTCGCTCCCACAGCTTCTGTTTAATTCGTAGTCCCAGCCCCAGACTGTATGGACCAGTCCGGCCATTCTTGTATCTATGAGGAGTGGAATGTACAGAAATGTAATCATGATGATTCTTGTGATTGAAAAGCTTCTATGTTGAAAGGCTGAGTGATAAACTTTGTGATTTTATTTCGAATTTATGACACAAACATACCTCAGCATATCATCTACCACCTCGTGGTAGATCTGCTGGTAATCTTCCACAGAATAGTTGTGTATTCTCAGTGGGCTGTCATCGTTTACAGCAGTGGAGTTCAGCTGGTTATCAGCAGTGGAGGGCCGGGGGCTGGGCAGCACATCTGACACAACAGGTAGCTCAGCAGGAGGGATGGCGGATAGAGGCCTGGGCACCAAATTCAGCTTCTCTGGATGTTCTGCAGAGGGTTTGTTAGGACTGGGCTCGGATCTCCGCTTCCTCTTTTGGGGAAGTTTGGCTTTAGCAGCGGATTGCTGGGGCCCTGGGGTCACATTCCGCACCTGGGGAAGGTCAGCAGCACACGAGAGGATGTCAGACTCTGATAACATTTTTACTATTAACAGAGGTGGACAAGTCATTGTTTTGCAAGTCTCAAGTCCCAAGACAAGACAGGCAACTACCTAGTCAAGTTCCCAGTCAGATTTGGTCAGACAAATTGGATCAGGGGAATTCTTTTTTTCAAATTTTGTCAAGTCGAGTCTGAAGTCAATAGATTTGTGACTCGAGTCCACCCCTCTAACATTTATATTTTCATAATCTGACAAGAGACAATCTCCATCAGATGAACTACAGATAAGTCAAAGACCCTTCACATATTCTGTCCATTTAAGTTCTGCAGTAAGAACTTCAAGGTCAATACAAATGAACTTCAAGTATTTTCTACATGGAATTCTTGAGCAGCGTATGACTAAACAATTTGAACTGTTCTGTTAATCTTTTAATCCAGATGTCTAACCTGGGCCTCCCTGCAGCACGGACACTTGCTGCGAGCGCCAGACTTCTGTGCACCTTGTGCCTGTCGTGCAGAAGTTCTCCTCTTCCTCCCGTAATGATGGTCTTTCAGGTGGATGAGAACGTCACACTGCAACAATACACACACACACACACACACACACACACACACACACACACACACACACACACGTTAGAATGAGGCTCAACAAGCAACAAGTGGCATTGAATAATGTAGATTTCATAGCACCAGTGGCTGCAAAATAGTTTACTTTCACCAAAAAAATTGCTTTTTATCAAACAGAGGCCTGTTGACCTTTTCATCTCATGGAGCTTTGTTGCTCCCTAACATGTCCTCCAAAACAGGCTAAAATTACCCGCTGGAGAAAAACAACGAAGTACTGGGCCCCTATTAACTCCCATTACTCACACTCTTACAGTGTGCACAGTTTTTCAGTGCTGGAACTACATGGCCCCAGATTTACTGTGCGGTAACACATTAAACACGACAGTTTAGGAAAATTCAACCAAATCTGAATTAATGAAGGTTTTAAACCCAGATTGTGACACAGGGGCCCCTGACTTCCAGACAGGGTTTGTAAGTCAAGAAATAAACGTATCTGTACTTTGCTTGAGTATTTTTTTTCTTATTTATTTCACTCCCTTCATTTTTACCCAAATATCCGTACTTTCTACTCCTATTATTTTTTAACAGGTTTGTTACTGTAGTGTTAATGCATTTGAGGGGAATCATTCTGAACATTAAGACTGGAGTATATCACGTTTGACAGACGTTACATGAAGAAAACAACATAAAATTCGAAAAAGACGAGACCAAACAGATTAGAAAGGAAGACTCAACCCTATCTGAAGCTTCAGTTAGCTTTAGACAGAAACAGCTGGTAGAAATGTCATCCAGAGAAACCAAGAGAGTATTTTCATTTACATTTACATTTCAGAGGCTGTACTTTTTCACTTTTATATATATATATTTATATATATATATATTCATATAATGCACAAAAATATAAAGGCAAATTACTGATGACAATTAAATAAGTTCAAGGACCTCACAGTTGTACTTATGACAATTCACAATATCACTATCTATCTCAGCTGGGAGCTGGCTGATGTAAATATGTGGTTTTAATTATTTTATTGGATATTTTTAAAGATAAAGATGGTAATTGTAATTATTTTCTGCGCATTACATTCATTTATTTGCTTTAATGAACAGAGGTATTGAGGTGATACAGCCAGACAGTGTACATTGATACAGTAACCCACTCCCACATTATGTGTAACGCGCATGCGTTGGCCTGAACAGAAGTTTCTCTTCCCTGCACTTTATTAATCCGTTGTATTAATTGTATTTGCAATATATTCTTTCTACTATGCGTGTTTATTCTCTTTATCATGTGTGCCACAGCCTGTTAGCAATGAATCAGTGAACCTTAAGGCCTCACGACGGTAAAACACAGACAACAGCACAGACTTTCAAAGTGTTCAAATCTCACATTTTCCATGATGGAAGTTAGTTGTGTCGCTTTAATCAGTCTCAGTGAGTCTTTGGCTCTTGTCAGGACGGACAATCCTCAGTAGAAGCTCTAAATTTGAAGAAATCGTTGAGTAAAACTCGTGAAAAACTTTTCTTGACTTTTAGAAGCTTTGTTTGTTTTTAAATGATAATGGAATATAAATGATGCACCTGGAGACAAACATAGCAACCGTGGAATCCTCCCCACCCTTTTGTGCACATCTGTTCTACAGTCACATCTCACCTCTGGATTTCAACTTTTATCCATTTAATGTGCAAAACACCTGAGATCACGTCCATATCCAATTATGAATCTAAGAAATGTCCAGCTCTGACTGCGTCCTCACTCTATTGTATGATAGAAGTTTGCCTTCACTCTTTAAATGAACTGCTCCTTATAGGTTCTGACTATAAATCTCAGCAGGCTTGTGCATCATTTTGACACATTCCAGGCTCATTTATGAAAAACTATTTCTACATATATTCAAAATAGTTTGTTTTTTTCACTCTATCTGTCAGGTTTGTCCACTCTCACACTACTATGTACATTATTCCATAAACACAGTACTTAAAGGAAGCACATAAAGAAACCTCTCCACAATCACAAAACAATATTTTATTTTGGATTTTGATTGATTGACCCAGATTTACTGTGCGGTAACACGTTAAACACGACAGTTTAGGAAAATTCAACATGTATGTACAAATCTGAATTAATGAAGGTTTTAAAGCCAGATTGGGTTTGTAAGTCAAGAAATAAACAAATCTGTACTTTGCTTGAGTATTTATTTTTCTGATTTATTTCACTCCCTACATTTTCACCCAAATATCCGTACTTTCTACTCCACATGTCTTTGGACTACTACTGGAGTAAAACTTTTGCCACCTCTGCACACTGGACCTTTCAGACCTTTATCGTGTCAGTTGTGCTTTAGTGTTGCAAATTCCAAAATACATTTCCAATTAAATTACTCCAAACCAGTATTTTACCATATAATGCATGAAAATATAAAGGCAAATTACTGATGACAATTAAAAAAGTTCAAGGACCTCACAGTTGTACTTATGACAATTCACAATATCACTATCTATCTCAGCTGGGAGCTGGCTGATGTAAATATGTGATTTTAATTATTTTAATGGATATTTTTAAAGATAAAGATGGTAATTGTAATTATTTTCTGCGCATTACATTCATTTATTTGCTTTAATGAACAGAGGTATTGAGGTGATACAGCCAGACAGTGTACATTGATACAGTAACCCACTCCCACATTATGTGTAACGCGCATGCGTTGGCCTGAACAGGCGCTTCTCTTCCATGCACTTTATTAATCCGTTGTATTAATTGTACTTGCAATATATTCTTTGTACTATGCGTGTTTATTCTCTTTATCATGTGTGTCACATTACCGCTAATATTGCCATACCTGCTCCTCCTGCTGTTAGAACAATAGGACTAATACTGCTACTCTTAATACTGTTACAAGCACTGATAGGACTAGTGATGCTGATGATAAAATGCTCTAGTTTCTAATTATTTTCAATCGATTCAAAAAGTGTAATGGAGCATAATTTGTATTTTTGTATTGTAAGCTACTGCTTTGTTTTGGCCCATTACAGTGACCTATGATGTAAGTAGTGTAATAGCACTTATTCAGGTAGTAATATTTGCAGGATTTGAACCCACATTTTACTAAGATTCCCACCAGATATGTATCAAGATATATATACAATAGTCTGCTTGAAACAATATTGTGTGTCTGATTTGTTTTTTCCTGCAAAAAGGTTTCCACATTAAAACCCTTAAAAACCCATCTCCTCCTTCTACCTCATTAACACTTCCAGAATCTCTGAATATACAAATGTTGTTCATCTCTAAAGTTTCCTGCTGGACACAAGATGTCTCCTACTTCACTGTAAAGTCCATTCTCAGTGGATGTGCACTGGTGGCTTCAAGTTTCTACATCTTACTAATTAGTTGCATGCCCGATCAGGACTGACTTCCAAACTATTTGTAACTATTAGTGCCCCAGCCCTTACAACCAAATGTTCAATGAGTACAGAGAAACTTTCCACTTTCAGCAGAGGAATGTGAAAACATCCTTTTAGTGTCAAACTCTGCACAGATGGCATTCTGCACAGTGAAAAACATATTATTGACTGGAAGGAGACTTTAAGTACAGTAAATAATGGACTTATTATCATTATCAAAGGTAAAAGTACTAGTATAATTCCGAATGCCCCCTTTGGCCATGTAATAAGCTACAACACATTCCATTAAATGAATGATTTGAAAGTCAAAATACGTCAGTATCATCTGTGAGGTAATGATGACGTCCCAATGATTTCAGATGAGGAGAAAGCTGCCTGTTGCTGGCAGAGGATGGAGGTAAGGAGTCCAGCCCCATCAGAGCTGTCAGGACATTTGACTGGTAAGTAAAATTCCAAATTGAAATGAAATATTAAATATATTCTGTGATGACAAGTTTATTATTACAGGGTGTTTTCACTACTGGATTTGCACATTCCATGTGTATTTTTACTGAAATGGTTTTGGTTGGTTTTCAGATTATTTCATTAGAGAACCTAATGACATCACTGGCCTTTGATTATACAAGTAAACCTACAAACACTATTTCAGAAAACTATATTGAATAATATGTAGAAAAAATGTACATGTACCATTTGTACATTTAGTATATTTTAAGTGATAAAATAAAGGAATGTCCCTTGTAGTTACTGACTTTTCTCTGGTAATACAAATCCAGTGAAAAAAATATGAATATTTTAACTTTTCATTATTTTCATAAATCGATTATTGTGTTGCTTATACTGTTAAGTTGGTTTCATTTAATTAAAAAATAATTTAAAACAGTTACAGTCTACTCCACTTTTATTGAAGCAGTTTACAAAGGTAACCCACACTCTTTTCGACAACACTTTACAATTACAATCTTCATAAAACAGATGGTGGTGTCGGTTGTAGTCTTCCAGAATCTTCAGGTGGAGGTGGTGGCTGTTGCTGACATGGGTTGCAGCGGAGTACCTGCAGGTGGAGGTAACTGCAGGTTGCTAGAAGAGGCTGCAGACATTTGCAAGAGACTTAAGGTCTCAGCTGTCTTCCAGAATCTGCAGGTGGAGAAAGCTGCAGGTCGTTGGAGGAGGCTACAGGTGGAGTTTGAGGTCTCAGCCTTTGGCCAGAATCTGCAGGTGGAGGAAGCTGCAGGTTGTTGGAGGAGGCTACATGTGGAGTTTGAGGTCTCAGCCTTTGGCAAGAATCTGCAGGTGGAGGAAGCTGCAGGTTGCTGGAAGAGGATACAGGTGGAGTTTGAGGTCTCAGCCTTTGGCCAGAATCTGCAGGTGGAGAAAGCTGCAGGTTGTTGGAGGAGGCTACAGGTGGAGTTTGAGGTCTCAGCCTTTGGCCAGAATCTGCAGGTGGAGGAAGCTGCAGGTTGTTGGAGGAGGCTACATGTGGAGTTTGAGGTCTCAGCCTTTGGCCAGAATCTGCAGGTGGAGGAAGCTGCAGGTTGCTGGAAGAGGCTACAGGTGGAGTTTGAGGTCTCAGCCTTTGGCAAGAATCTGCAGGTGGAGGAAGTTGCAGGTTGCTGGAAGAGGCTACAGGTGGAGCTTGAGGTCTCAGCCTTTGGCCACAATCTGCAGGTGGAGAAAGATGCAGCTTTTTGGCAAAGGATGTAGGTGGAGGTTTAGCCCGCAGTTTTCTGCCACAAGGCTGAGGCTACAGGTGGAGATTGAGGTCTCAGCTTTCTTCCAGAATCTGCAGGTGGAGAAAGCTGCAGGTTGCTGGAAGAGGCTACAGGTGGAGTTTGAGGTCTCAGCCTTTGGCCAGAATCTGCAGGTGGAGGAAGCTGCAGGTTGCTGGAAGAGGCTACAGGTGGAGTTTGAGGTCTCAGCCTTTGGCCAGAATCTGCAGGTGGAGGAAGCTGCAGGTTGCTGGAAGAGGCTACAGGAGGAGTTTGAGGTCTCAGCCTTTGGCCAGAATCTGCAGGTGGAGGAAGCTGCAGGTTGCTGGAAGAGGCTACAGGTGGAGTTTGAGGTCTCAGCCTTTGGCCAGAATCTGCAGGTGGAGGAAGCTGCAGGTTGCTGGAAGAGGCTACAGGTGGAGTTTGAGGTCTCAGCCTTTGGCCAGAATCTGCAGGTGGAGGAAGCTGCAGCTTTTTAGCACAGGATGTAGGTGGAGGAAGCTGCAGGTTGCTGGGAGAGGCTACAGGTGGAGTTTGAGTTCTCAGCCTTTGGCCAGAATCTGCAGGTGGAGAAAGCTGCAAGTTGCTGGGAGAGGCTACTGGTGGAGTTTGAGTTCTCAGCCTTTGGCCAGAATCTGCAGGTGGAGGAAGCTGCAGGTTGCTGGAAGAGGCTACAGGAGGAGTTTGAGGTCTCAGCCTTTGGCCAGAATCTGCAGGTGGAGGAAGCTGCAGGTTGTTGGAGGAGGCTACATGTGGAGTTTGAGGTCTCAGCCTTTGGCCAGAATCTGCAGGTGGAGGAAGCTGCAGGTTGCTGGAAGAGGCTACAGGTGGAGTTTGAGGTCTCAGCCTTTGGCCAGAATCTGCAGGTGGAGAAAGCTGCAGGTTGTTGGAGGAGGCTACAGGTGGAGTTTGAGGTCTCAGCCTTTGGCCAGAATCTGCAGGTGGAGGAAGCTGCAGGTTGTTGGAGGAGGCTACATGTGGAGTTTGAGGTCTCAGCCTTTGGCCAGAATCTGCAGGTGGAGGAAGCTGCAGGTTGCTGGAAGAGGCTACAGGTGGAGTTTGAGGTCTCAGCCTTTGGCAAGAATCTGCAGGTGGAGGAAGTTGCAGGTTGCTGGAAGAGGCTACAGGTGGAGCTTGAGGTCTCAGCCTTTGGCCACAATCTGCAGGTGGAGAAAGATGCAGCTTTTTGGCAAAGGATGTAGGTGGAGGTTTAGCCCGCAGTTTTCTGCCACAAGGCTGAGGCTACAGGTGGAGATTGAGGTCTCAGCTGTCTTCCAGAATCTGCAGGTGGAGAAAGCTGCAGGTTGCTGGAAGAGGCTACAGGTGGAGTTTGAGGTCTCAGCCTTTGGCCAGAATCTGCAGGTGGAGGAAGCTGCAGCTTTTTAGCACAGGATGTAGGTGGAGGAAGCTGCAGGTTGCTGGGAGAGGCTACAGGTGGAGTTTGAGTTCTCAGCCTTTGGCCAGAATCTGCAGGTGGAGAAAGCTGCACGTTGCTGGGAGAGGCTACAGGTGGAGCTTGAGTTCTCAGCCTTCGGCCAGAATCTGCAGGTGGAGGAAGCTGCAGGTTGCTGGAAGAGGCTACAGGTGGAGTTTGAGGTCTCAGGTTGCTGGATGTTGGAGGAATTTGGTTGCAGGTATTTTCAAGAAACTGCAGGTTGCAGATGATGTTGTTGACAGAGGTTCTTCAGACCTTCATCCAGAATCTGCAGGTGGAGGAAGCTGCAGGTTGCTGGAAGAGGCTACAGGTGGAGTTTGAGGTATCAGCCTTTGGCCAGAATCTGCAGGTGGAGGAAGCTGCAGGTTGCTGCAAGAGGCTATAGGAGGAGTTTGAGGTCTCAGCCTTTGGCCAGAATCTGCAGGTGGAGGAAGCTGCAGGTTGCTGGAGGAGGCTGCATGTGGAGTTTGAGGTCTCAGCCTTTGGCCAGAATCTGCAGGTGGAGGAAGTTGTAGGTTGCTGGAAGAGGCTACAGGTGGAGTTTGAGGTCTCAGCCTTTGGCCACAATCTGCAGGTGGAGAAAGATGCAGCTTTTTGGCACAAGATGTAGGTGGAGGTTTAGCCCGCAGTTTTCTGCCACAATGCTGAGGCTACAGGTGGAGTTTGAGGTCTCAGCTGTCTTCCAGAATCTGCAGGTGGAGAAAGCTGCTGGTTGTTGGAGGAGGCTACAGGTGGAGTTTGAGGTATCAGCCTTTGGCCAGAATCTGCAGGTGGAGGAAACTGCAGGTTGCTGGAAGAGGTTAAAGGTGGAGTTTGAGGTCTCAGCCTTTGGCCAGAATCTGCAGGTGGAGGAAGCTGCAGCTTTTTAGCACAGGATGTAGGTGGAGGAAGCTGCAGGTTGCTGGAAGAGGCTACAGTTGGAGTTTGAGGTCTCAGCCTTTGGCCAGAATCTGCAGGTGGAGGAAGCTGCAGGTTGCCGGAAGAGGCTACAGGTGGAGTTGGAGGTCTCAGCCTTTGGCCAGAATCTGCAGGTGGAGGAAGCTGCAGGTTGCTGGAAGAGGCTACAGGTGGAGTTTGAGGTATCAGCCTTTGGCCAGAATCTGCAGGTGGAGGCAGTGGTGCAGGTTGCAGGCAGAGGTTTGAAACAGCTGTGTTGGGAGGATTTGGCAGGTGGAGGTGGCATTTGATGTTTCTGGCAGAAGGTTTCAGTGGAGCATGTCTTTACAGTTTTCTGCTCTCTGTAGGTGGAGACTAGAGGAGCAGATGGTTGATGTCATAGGAAGGCAGAGTTTAGATCTGAAGTGGGTGGAGGAGACTGTAGTCCTGGCAGGTGATAGGTGGTGGTTGAGGTTGAGGTTGAATTAAAGGCTGCATTTACTGATGTTTAAAAAACCCTATTCTATTGAACTAGTATAATATTTACAGATGCAGAGTAACTGCTCCTTCAGTGTCACTTTGAGTTCTTAGCCCTTTTACTTGGTGGCTGAGCAGGGCTCGGCTCTCCCAGCGTGTCAATATTATGAAGGGGTGGAGAACTTCCAACTCCATATGATATGTCCACACGCATGAGTCCACCATCACTTTCTGACACTGTCATTGTGGGGCGATTCAGTCGCTCCCACAGCTTCTGTTTAATTCGTAGTCCCAGCCCCAGACTGTATGGACGAGCCCGGCCATTCTTGTATCTATGAGGAGTGGAATGTACAGAAATGTAATCATGATGATTCTTGTGATTGAAAAGCTTCTATGTTGAAAGGCTGAGTGATAAACTTTGTGATTTTATTTTGAATTTATGACACAAACATACCTCAGCATATCATCTACCACCTCGTGGTAGATCTGCTGGTAATCTTCCACAGAATAGTTGTGTATTCTCAGTGGGCTGTCATCGTTTACAGCAGTGGAGTTCAGCTGGTTATCAGCAGTGGAGGGCCGGGGGCTGGGCAGCACATCTGACACAACAGGTAGCTCAGCAGGAGGGATGGCGGATAGAGGCCTGGGCACCAAATTCAGCTTCTCTGGATGTTCTGCAGAGGGTTTGTTAGGACTGGGCTCGGATCTCCGCTTCCTCTTTTGGGGAAGTTTGGCTTTAGCAGCGGATTGCTGGGGCCCTGGGGTCACAGTCAGCACCTGGGGAAGGTCAGCAGCACACGAGAGGATGTCAGACTCTGATAACATTTTTACTATTAACAGAGGTGGACAAGTCATTGTTTTGCAAGTCTCAAGTCCCAAGACAAGACAGGCAACTACCTAGTCAAGTTCCCAGTCAGATTTGGTCAGACAAATTGCATCAGGG